CAGACCAACCCCGGCACCACCGCCGGTAGCCTACCCGGCTGCCCGAGCCCGAAGCCCGACCAAACAGCCCTATTGGGTGATTCACAGCAACCCAAATAGCCCACCAATCAACCCAAAACAATCCACTCAAACCCAATTGCATCCAATTGAACCCGTTTGGACCTAATTGATTCCAATTGTACTCAATTGGACCATAGCACCCTCGCCAAGCCACTGCCCAGAACACGGCCGACCCACCGTCGTACGTTGCCGGCGCGTCGCTAGAGAGGGTGACTGAAAACAGCCCCAACAACCACCCCAACAATTTCAATCCCAATCAAACCCAAATTCACAATCAAATGCAAGATTAGAAGCTAAGAAAGTCCTAATTGTACAAATTAACACTAACTATAGGTATATGGCGTCTTTGTGGCTAAGGCAGGGCGTCTTTGTGGCTCGATTAAAGTCCCTCGATCAAGTATTTTTATTTATTAATTTTAATTTTAGTTATTTATTATTATTATTATTACTATTAGTATTATTATTGTAATTGTTTTTATTGTTATTGTTACTACTATTGTTAATATTACTATTATTATTATTAATGTTTTTGTTGTTAATACACCATATTATTATTACTAATATTATTATTTTATTTATTAATTTATATTTTTTAATTAATTAATTAATTAATTATTATTATTATTTTATTCATTAGTTAATGCTTTTATTAATTTAATTGTCTATCTATTATTATTGTTGTTATTATTATTATCATTATAATTATTTTACTAAATACTTTTTTTAATATTGTTATTTTTTAACTTATATTTCGATTTTCTGATTTTTTTTTATTTTTATTAATTTTCATTTTATTATTACATCTATTTGATTGGTTATTATTACTATCTACTATTTTTAAGGGATAAAGAAAAGAGAAATTTACCTAAATAGGATCATTGGTCATTATACATTAGTCATTATTCAAGTAAATATCTATCATCACTAGATATTATTCCTCCCAATAGACATTATTAAGTATTATTTAGATAATAAAAAAGTTTAAGTCCTACATTAGAATATCATTTATGTTTTAGTCTTATTTAGTACAAATTTCAATAAAGAAAAATGATGGAAGAACCAAAAGAAGACGAAAAGAGCGAATGAGAAATCCTCTGATTTAAAAGATTGATATGGAAGGGAAGAGATGAATTAGAAACTAAAATTTTGGACCCTGCATCCATATCATATGCTGCATGAGGGAATCAACTAAGAAAGTTGTTCGTCACATTATCAGTAATAAATACCACGAGTCACCCATAAACTACTTTTGAAAAAATATGAGAACTTCTGGTGGATGGAATTCTATTGGGAGAACTACCAAAGTAGGACTAAAACATTGAAAATATACAAAAATAGAACTTTCATGTTTTTATTCCCAAAATAGGACTTACATTACCAAACATGGTCATATACATTACCAAAAAAGTATAGTAATTTGCACATGTGCACTGCCACATTACCACAATGCAAAGTCACATTACCACAGTGCAAAGTCCTATTTCGAGAAAAAAAAACATGAAAGTCCTATTTTGGTACTTTTCTCTATGTTTTAGTACTATTTAGGATGATTTCTAAATTTTATTTGATCAAAAGAGAATAATGCGTGATCAAGGTATTTAAATACAGAGATAGCTTTTTAATGTATTAATCCATATGAAATACATTATATGAAAATAAAACTCTTTAATTGAGTACTACATATCTGCATAAAAATAAATTTTTATAATTCTTTTTTGCATAACTTATAATCTCACAAGAAGACCTAAAGAATTTATGTCTAATTGAGATTGAAAACTTGTTTAATTGAAATTGACGATCTTTAAAGGAATTCAGTGGCATGCCATTTTCAGATCACAATCGACTTAATGGATATCGAAATAATTTCTTGGTAGAGGAATTGAACTATGATAAAGAAAAGTTGTCATTTGATCTTACGAGATATTTATCTACAATGAATGAAGATTAGAGAATTATATCTAATGAAATAATGGAAGTCATGACAGCTGAAGGAGGAAGTTTCTTTTTTGTGTATGGTTAAGGTGGAACTAGAAAAATATTTCTTTAGAAATCATTGTCTACTTCTTGGTCAAATGGTAATGTTTTCTTGAATGTCGCATCCATCTGCATTGTATCATTGTTTTTACCTAGGGGAAGGACAAGAAACTCGAGAATCTTAATCCTTTGGTGCTAACCAAGTGCTCATCGTGTGCCATCAAATAAGGGAGTCCAAAAGTATAACTAATCCAACAAGCAAATATGATCATATGAGATGAATCATCTACGATGAGTAGATTTGCTTTTCAGACATTGGTGGACAATGAAAAATGTAATGAGGTTCTCCAATAAAAACTCCAGAAATAAACTACTTGAACGGAAAACACTCAAAACAATTGTACTTGCAGGTTATTTTGTTTCAAATTCTTTAAGTTTTTACTCAAAGCTTTGAGAGAGAAAATTGTAAACGCTACCACCAATTTCTCAAAGATATGGTTGTATTGTAAAGTTTATACGTTGACCAAGAATATGAGATTGTATTTATCTACGCCCTCTTGCACAAATAGGAACACATAAGCTTTTTCTGATTGAATAATCTAAGTAAAAAATGGAAAGGGTGGACAAGCGATTGATGGAACTGCTGACATTGAAATCCTGTCTGAATTCTTGATTCTTGAAAAAAGTTTTTTCCTCAAAAGTATAGTGGATTTCACTTATCCAAACCTATTGGAGAATATGAAAAATTATTCTTTTTTTGAAAATAGTACATTATTGGCACCCACGCTGGAGGTTGTTGAATGGTAAATGAATTTGTCATTTTCCCTTATTTTAGAAGGTGACAAGGAGTACTTAAATTCTGATTCTTCATGCGAAATAGATTCAGATGTAGTTGTTGAAGACGATTGAATGACAGTTGCATTTTTTTAATAAAATCAAACGTTCGGGGATCCTAACCTATAAAATACTTTTAAAAAAGAGGTACAAATTATGTTATTGAAGAACATTGACCAAACGTTTGAATTGTGTCATGGTAGAAGATTATTCGTTGAAGAGCCGTGAAAGAACAATATCAATGGAATTGTGATTTCGGGAAATTATTATGTCGGAAAAAAATTTACATATCCCAAATGAATTTGGTACATACCATCTGATTCAGGACTGCTCGTGAAGTTTTAGAGAAATTAAAACAATTCTCAATAGTCTTATGTTTTGCTATAAGTATTAACAAAAGTCAAAGTCAGTTATTGTTTTTTTGTATTATTGTTAACCAATTCGGTATTTACTAATAGTCAGTTTTATGTTACTGTTTCACGTGTGAAGGCAAAGACATGATTAAAATATTAGTTCTAGATGATAAATGAAACTCTTATAACCATACCAAAATTTTTTTGTCTTTACACAGATTTGGAATTAAAAAGACTTTTTCGAATACACTTTTAATTCCTCAAATATTATTTTTACATCAGAACTAAATATATTTTTGTTTCATAATTCGTAATCTAAATTTATAAAAAAATGACTAAAAAGATAAAATAGAAGATATGTAGGACGAAGGAAGTATAAAATAATACTTCCTCCATCCCAAATGAAATTACTTATTTACTTTTCACAGGGTCAACACTTTCTTTTCCTATTTTCGTTAGTCATTTGATACAATAATATAGTCATGTCACAACTAGTTTTATAGTTTTTTAGATGTAATTTTTAAATATGCAATTTATATTTTTTAAAATTTTACACTGTTTTTTTTATATAAATGATTTGAAAATAATTCCAATCAAACATCGTAAATCAAAATAGCCAATTTAAATTGGGACGGAAGAAGTATGAAGTGATGAATTGATGATAGATTGATAAATGCGATATGACAAAAAATGAACAAATCATCAAATTTTAATTGCATTAAAAAAATTAAATTTTAATTCAAAAATAACATATATACAAATATATCTAAAAACGAAATATACCTGAACCGGAATGTACTTGAAACCGAAATCGATCCAAAACGTTTGACATCCCAACCAAATATGAACAAAACCGGAACCAAAATATATATAAAACCGAATCAATCTGAACCAAATCAATTATAACATATATCGGAAAGATATTCGAACCAAATTATTCCAAATCGGAACCGATCCAATTGATCCGATTGGCACCTCTAGTTTCAAATAATAATGTGGACATAATAATATGGAGTGTGTCCCTTGAGTCCTATCTTGACTTGCCTGTACCCCAGGTACATTGGTAGGGGATTGTGATACTCCCTCCGTTCCACATAGATCTTCTTATTAGCCCTTTTTATTTATTCACCATAGATTTTCTCATTACCTTTTTTAATAATTAAAATACTACAACTACCCTCACTTACTTTATTTATTACACCTTACATGCCTCATTTAATACACTTCACTCATTTTCATTAAGGGTATTATAGTAAATTTTCACCTTTTTCAACTCTTCTTAAAAACCACAAAAAGTCAAAACGAGAAGATCTTAGGGGGACGGAGGAAGTATTATATATGAATTATTACAAAAAAATATGATAATGACTTTGATATAAAACTTGTGGTGAACATCTAACATTGTGGTTGTAATACTCCGCAATAATTTAGAATTGTTTGAGCTGCGTCAACCATATACCATAAAAGTAAAATGATCTCAAATCATTTTAAAAAAAGAAAATTTAAATTTACATAAAAAAATGTTTGTAAATTTTGTGACTATTTGTTTGTGACTATGCATTTTTTGTTGTAAAACTGTTTTAGACTTGGTTATAAGCCAAACCACCTCACTTTAAGTTTGATTTCTCAAAGTCCTGACTTGACCAAAAGCTTGGCTTGAACACGAGTCCAGCCTCCTAACATGCCCTAAAGCTTAATTTGTTAGAAATTCTCAAGTTGCACATTTGTAATCATCAAGCCACAGAAAAAAAAAAGTCATTGTGAACACTTGTGCTACAACAAGCCATTGCACCTTTGTTATTGCCATTCGGCGAGTGTCTTTAATCTGTTCATACAACATTTGTTTGCTCTGTCGAACAATAATAACGAACCAGCAACCCGAAGAAAAGAAGAAACGAACAAGCAACACATAACTGTGGCAAAGAGCAGAGAACAGGAAGTAAAAGATAAGATATTCCAGTACAAGTTACAAACCTCAAGAGGTTGTCCACCAAAGCAGCCAGCATAAATAATGACAACATGCACACAAGAGATATGTATATATATAGTTCATTTTCAAACTTGCAAAGACGCCCAGTCTTTCAAGGCTGTGTACCATTCATTCATTGCATCCAAAAGGGAAACAGATAAATGGACTTACTTACCAAACTGCACCAAGCATCGTAAGGCCCCACAGTCGGTCCACAGGCTGCCCTATATCTTGTTGAGCTTTTCCGCAACGACAACCGGATTTGCCTTGGCAATGGCATCCCGGCCAGCATTCTGATAGTCATATTGGCATTCGTGTTTGTCTGAGTAACGATGGGTGGCGCAGAAGAGGTTTCCACACTTGCAAGTGAACCCGGTCAGACCCACACGTTTGCGGCAAGTATTGCACCTGTTTGGCCCTTCTTTCACCTTCGCCCTGGCTTCGCTCTGATCAGCCGTTGAGGATGAATCTGCAGGAGAAGCTTGAGAGGAGGAGATGAGCTTCAGATCTACAGGTCCAGATTTCACATCAATCACACCGGCACCCGTAGGTTCTTTGGGGCTATTGCTTGTGCTTCCATTGACAAAGTTCTCAATGGACGAAGCAGCAAGCTGAGCCTGTTCCTTCTTCAAGACCATGTCTTTGTGACACTTGGAGCACATGTTCATGGTGGCTGCGCTGCCAAAGAACCCGCAATTGTTGATGCAAAAGGTTGGACCTTCTGAGGCTTGGAAACCTGTCTCTTTTGATGACTCCATCCTGCAATGTCCTGCCGTGCAGATACATATATGATTTACTAAAAGGCAAAGAGTTCAAAGAGATCAGATTAAGGTGGGACTAGAAATGCACACCTGGCCTGTGCAGCAAATATAACTAAAAAATACGGAGTATTAAATGTGTTATCATAAACAGCATATCTACGCCGGTGATGACTTCACAAATTTTAAACCCACTGGCAATGCTTTTTCTCACCCACTATGCCAATTAAGAAACACACAGCAGAGGTGTAGCTAGTTATAACACCAAGCTAAATACAGACCACACTGCAAGCTACTAATAGAAAATGCTCAAACTGTGATTAAGCAAAACTGTAGAAATTTTGGCATAAATTGTTCAACGTTTCATTAATTACAATCCGGCATATATGAACACAAGTACACAGGTGGGCTTAATATCAGGCCAACACACACACGCTACGTAGCCCAAAATACAGACTAAACCTATGCACAAGAAATACCTGCTAACAGAAACCAATGCATCATCATTTCATTAAAAGTGTTGACAACACATACAATGGCAAAACCCCAATGATCATAAATTGACTACACTAAACTTGATGATGTAAAATTTTCTACTTGAGACAGAATAGGCAAAAAAAAAGTCTTTCTTTTTCAAATTTAGCATATTTCGGAACCAAAAAAGGAGAAAGTGAAGGAACAATTCAAGAAACCTGCAGATGAACTGCAAGTAGTCTATCGGTCTATATAGGGATTTCATAACTTCCTTAAAAAAGACGCTTGCTTTAGAATTTCTCAGTTAAAATAATTTTGAGCAAGGGAAAATACAATCGAACCTCAAACACCACATATTTGAAAGGAAAAGACAGCTCAACAAAACAGGTATCAAGCATTTCTCCCAAGTCGAAGGTACTTTTGCTGGAAATTTCTAAAAAGATCACACCTTTTCATCAAAATACCAACCAAATCACACGCATATAACGATATTAGAAAAGAAAACAGAAACCCTTGATCAAACGAAATGGATCAATACCATTTCTGGGTCTTGTTTAAAAGCAAAAATTAGTATTCGATTTTAATGAATTAATATTAAACGAAGATGTATCTCGCACAGGGGGGGAATTATTCCAAAGAAAAAGCATATGTTAGCACAAATTATACGAACGGATGAGCAAATATACCTAAATTGAAAACGAGATTTGAGACAGACGATGAAACCAAGGAAAGGTTTAAAATTTAATTGGAGAAATAGTCCGTCTGGAAAGAAGTAGAAATCCAGGGGAAGGGGAAAGAGGTTGATTGGTAAACTTCGTGATGGATTTTTTGTTGGGCAACCCAAGCACCCAACGACTGATTTCGTGTATATTAAGGACTGGCGATTTATTACTCCCCACGATCCTACGGAGAATTAAAAAAGAAAACGGCATCTTTACCTTCTTGAGGGGCTCAGTCCCTTTTGCAAAACAACAGCAAACTTTTCTCTATTTTCAAAAAATTATTTATAAAATGATATACAAGATTTATTTGAATACTTCAAAAAATTTGTGATTTTATGTTGATATTTCGAAATTGAATAATTCACGCCACTTTTCCCTGGAATTGTTTAATTTTATACTAATACTTCAAACTACCAACTAAGAACACGTTCTTTAGGACTGGAAAAAAAAGAGCTGAATATTGGAACAAACTGAAAGAAATTGGAAGTAACTAGAAGAACTGGAAGAAACTGGTAAAAACTAGAAGGACTGGAAAAAACTAGAGGGAGCTAGAAATAACTCGAAATAACTGGAATAACTTCAAAAAATTCGAAAACCTAAAAAATTTTTAAAATATTTATTTTAAATTCTTGTTGTTATAAATTATTATTATTATTATTATTAAAATTAATATTATCATCATCATCATCACGTTATCTTAATGAATGTCTTTAAGATACAAAAAAAGTGTTGTTATTTCTCAAATACAAAATTTTTTTGCAAAAACATAATTATAATATAAAGTTAGCATAAATATAAAAATATTAAATTTTAAAAAGTTTTTGTGGTTACGTTGCACCTCAATTTATTTATGCAATATTTATTATAAACAATATATTTGTAATTATACTTTATATATTACAAGATTTTGTTTTAAATATCAGACATGTCACATAATTTAATCAAACCTATTTTTCTTTCATGATTGACATTTTATTTTCATTGAACTCCTATTTTTAGAATAAAGACATAGAACTTTTTTTACATCTCTTAGTTTTTACTCCTATTTTAGTCTTTTTCTTCAAGCTATTTGTACTTTCAATTTTTTTTTATAAAAATGAGAAAAATTTAAGTAATAAAGAAAAAGGTGAGAGGTCTTATATAAAGTTAGATTAATAAAAATTCTATGTCACTATTTTATCCATAATTTTTAATATAGTTTAACATATTGATATTTTACTGTTTTATCATGTAGATTAATATACAAAAAATTGTCTTATTCATATTAAAAAACTGAAAAAATGAGTGTGAATCGTAAAAAGGTGAGATGAAAAAAATACTCCCTCCGTCCACAAATAAACTTACATTACGCGTTACGATGTTTGACTGAAGTTATTTTCAAATCATTTTATATGAAAAATGGTGTAGAATTGATAAATAAAAATTACATATTAAAAAACTATATCAAAAGATCTACAAAACTAGAGGTGACATGACTATATTATTTTATCAAATGGGTGACGAAAATAGGCCAACTAAGTGAATAAAGTTTGATCTTGTGAATAGTGAACGTAAAGTTTATTTGTGGACGGAAGGAGTAATTTATAAACTATAGTTATGAACATAACACTTTTAATAATAATAATAATAATCAAATTAAAAATATGTCGTTTTTAGAGTAATTGGTTCGGAAGTAGAAAAAGTTTGAAGAAAATGAGAATAGTTGGAAAAACTGGAAGAAACGTAACTAGAAGAAATTGAAAGAAACTAGAAAAAACTGGAAGGAACTAGCAGATATTGGAAGAAACTGGAAGAACTGGAAGAAAGTGGAAGGAACTTGAAAAACTAGAATGAACTGGAAGAAACTAGAAGTTAAGAGTTCAAGTCCTAAAGAATATGCTTTAAGTAGAATATGTGGCATTTTAAATAATGAGTGTAAATTATTGAGTATGTGTTGGTAACTACGGAATGATATAAAATAAAAGAAAATAATGTTCTAGACTAAATAAAAAATTAGCACATATTTCATAATCAAATTTATATTTGTTGGAAAGATCTTTAAAATATAAAATTTGGACTATATCAACTTGAAAATTCTCTAACTTTTTATCTGAAATACTATACATAATTTATCCGATTAAAATATAAACACTTTATTTTTCATTTTTAACACATTTTTATTTCAATGCTACATGGGGGAGGGTAATTATAATGCATGCAAGGTATTTTATTTATTTTGTAATTAATATGAACTCATACATAATAATTGTCCAGTCACCATCTGAAACTCCACTTATTCCCCATAGTTGGTAGCCTAAAATATTGGTATAAATTTGAGTAATTTCAGGGAGCAATTGTGTAAATTATTTAATTTTCGAGTATTATCGTAAAATCACAAATTTTTTGGAGTATCTAAGTGAATTTTTCCTAACTTATTTTTAAGAAAAATGCTAAGGGTACACCAAAGGTGTACCCCATTTGTCCCCCACCCCCTCCATCACCACAAAAAAAGGCAAGAAAATAAAAAAAAATTAAACAAATAAAAATAAAAAAAATTATATGGTGGAGAAATGGGTGGGGGACAAATAGGGTACACCAAATGGTGTACCCCTAGCATTCCTTTATTTTTAAACTTAGAATGCCATTTATGTCTTTCTTCTCTTTTATCATGAAGTTTCACTTTTTTATTTTTTATTTTTGTATATAAAAATAAATAAAGCAACATATGCACTCTTCATCTTAAATTAATTTTTTTTTATTTATTTTTTAAAATAAAAGACTTTTTTGAAGAAAGATACAAAAGACAATGAAAATACAAAATGAAGTAAAATACTCTATACGGAGTTGTTAGTTCCATGGTATTTGCTAATCTTTTGGCATCATAGAATCTCATATTTATTAGGTGTTGTACTAGGTAGAAACCTCTATTTGTTAGGAGAGATTTATTTTATTTAGACTTCTAGAGTTGCTGCAGTTTTCGAGGTTGACACAGAAGATGCTACAGCACGATGCTGCAACACACAGTTCGAGATCAAAAGTCTGAGCATGGGATTTTAAGTTACAATCTGAATTAGAGACTATTGGGATTGTGATTACATGATAATAACTCCAGCGGTACGTGTTAAGGAATCCCAACTCTTTAGGCTACTTGTGGTTCAAGATTAAGGAGAGTTGTATTCAAGCCAACTTTTACTAACCTTTCCTATTATGATTGTGTTAAAAAAGCCTATAAAAACACAGCAGATCCCTGGGAATTTCTTGGAGCGATCGAGAGGGAATACAAAGAACATACACTGATGTAGAGCATTCCCGTCGCATCCCGGAGCTTCCCATGCGTGAAGAAGGTTACGATCTACATGATGGAGGAGATCTTCAACGCCAAACAGATCGTGACGTCCAGGAGATGAACTTGAGCTGAATGAGTGGGCTGCCAACACGTTTGTCCTCGTGATCTCGGTGGAGATGTGATAGCCGAAACAAATCTGTACAGGGTACGAGTTAGAAATCCTAAATTAGAAGTTTTGTCATAACAATTCGGGGAAGTGTGTCTCATAGTCATGTTGTTATGTACCAGTGTAACTTGCATCTAGTGATTTAGTGGATGACTATTGCACGGAAGTGTGCCCCGCAGACGTAGGAGAGTTCTCTAAACTTCGTAAACATATCTGTTGTTATTTTTTATGCATTTTTGTAGGTACAACATTCTTCCTATTAGGCGATGTAACACCCTCTGCATCATCTGCTTCTATGTGTGCTTGTGACAGAGAAGTGTTATAGCACACTGTCTGTCATTTGTTATTGTGACAGTGTTGCAGTATCTTCTCTGTAGCATAGTTGACTGATTTATTTGCATAGCTTTCAATTGGTGATTTCCGCTACGCCCCACGAACTTACAAGAGTAACAGAAAAAAAGATAGTAAAAAGACTAAAGTAGGAGTAAACATGGAAAACATATCAATATTCCCGCACGTATGAGACACACTGATGAGGAGGAGCTGCATGTATGAGGGGGAGTGGCTACGTGATTGAATAACCTAAGTTTAATCAAATATTTAAAAGTAATAGAAAAAATAGTAGAATATAATAAAAGGTAGAGGGTATGCATGAAAGATATTGACACTATAAATATCTAAATTCGTATAAATGATTGAGTGCTATATGCATAATATTGAGTGACTTAGAGTGATAAGTAGGGTGATTTATTTACAAATATTTAGATTACAAATATTTAGTTGTATTTTTCAGAGTATTCTAGGGAATTTTCTTTAAAAAATTGGACAACTCTTTACACAAAAACAACTAATTTTCAAGTAGTCCCCAAAAATAGAGTTTTAAACATGTAAAACAAACCAATACTTGTTAAAACGTACTCTGTCTTTGTGTATTTAACTAGTTTGATTTTTTAAATCAGATTGAATGAAAATCGGAGCTTCAATTAAATAAACACTACTTAAGAAAAGGTCAAATCTACTATCTCATTTACATCAATTCTAGAGATAACCGGTACAACTGGGGTGTTAATTTTCACCAACTGACCTTTTAGATCGGTTATTAATAATAACCGATTCAAAAGTCAATTGAACCAGTTATTACTAATAACCGATTCAAATGAGTATAACTTTTTGAATCATTTATTAGTAATAACCAATTCAATATATAGTCTATTGAATCAGTTATTAATAATAACCAGTTTAAATGAGTTGGTTAAATATAATCGTTTTATCTTTTATGCGATCTAATTTCTAACCCATCGTCGTTGTCTTCTTCCTCCCTCGTCGTTCGCCACCCTCGCCCTTAACCCCCCTCTCTGTCGCCACCTCCGTCGCCAAATAAAACTTGTAATGTATATTAATATAAAATGATGTCATTAAATTTATCTTGTTGAAAACTTTTAAAAAATTTATTTCATTATATTTATATGCCATACAAATTGAAACTAATTGAAACTCAAAATTCGTCTAGTTTGACTCAAAAAAGTCAAAATAGATAAATAGACAAGGGCGGATGTAGTATTTATATAATAGTAAAAATTTAAATAAAATAGGAATAGAATTAAAAAAATATGTACTACAAATTTTAAGAAAGAGAAAATTATTAAAATGAGTGTAAAACATTGTTATTTTTCCTAAATAAGACCAAAAGTTTTCATTTCTCTAAATAGTACTCTCTCCGGTCCTAAAAATCTTTTATGTTTTAATTCTTTTGGTCAAATATCGAAACTCTTTGACCATAAATTAAACATAATCTAAATAAATAAATAAACAAATGATATAAA